CTATTTACTTGACAAGTTTTATGAATTCAATAGATTATCACCCAATTACTCTAAAATTAAATTCAAACGAGTCCAACCTGTTAGTTTTATCTACTTCATTGGGTTCGCAAGTCTTGTGATGAATTGTCAGGCTTAGAAACAATTGACATGATCCACTAGTATTAGTGTAATTATAATTGTAACCATTGATGAAAAATAAACGTATTCGATTTTGTAGCACGGATCTTTTACAAGATTAATTCGGATCAACTTTGATTCCTTTAGAAAATGTAGTTCAAGGAGCTATATATGGAGCAATTAAGAACAATTTATATCAACTTCTCAGAATTTAATAACTTCAACCCCATTAACAACTATTTATGATTTTATTTTCGAATTATACCCATTATCTCAAGTTTTGAATCGAACTAATCCATTGACATAATAGTTTTTAAGGATAAAATTGATTCATTTAAGACCTAGAAGATTGACAAGGCAAACCACTAGTTTTCGAATACGAGATACCCATCCTAGTCACTATGAACATATTTACCCAATTGACACATCCGAAAAAATTAATGTTGGACAAATTGGATCCTTGGCAATTCATGCAAGGATTTGTCATTGGGGGTCTCTAGAAAGTCTTTTTTTATGAAATTTCGAAGAAATCACCCTTTAAAGATGAATACCATATGGTAATGATAAGAAATTGTTTGACCTTGAATAGCGGTATTCAAGAAATACTTGTATTAACATCAAGTACTTTTTATTTATTAGGTAATCGAGAATATCCTTTCTGCACCATTCATACTTGAGCCACTAATCAACATACATCTTTCTCTCCAGTAAATGAGACATCAAATAAAAGAGGTAAACTTAGAAGTTGCATTATTTGGATGTCCAACAATACCCTTTTTTTTTGGTTATCTCTCCTCCTAACAGTATTTTCGGGTTAATTACATGCAAGCCTCCTCGTGTTTACCTCTAAATTGCATGGACCTCTCTAAACTTGAAGAAAAATAAAATATATCACCACCATATTAGTAACCAAACTTGTGAAAATAAAATTAATTTTGTTAGTGAACGGAGCAGCATACCCTACTTACCTATATTTAGTTAAAAGAAATCTAAATTCCATCCCACGATTATACAATCACCATCATCGCCGCACCCCCTACTCAGATTTCAAATTCATGCATAGGTTGAAGCAATTGTGGATAACACAGTCGAATTTTAACTATACGATTGATCATACGCTCTCTAATTTGGCAAAACTACACAACTTCAGCAGATCCAAATTTCATAGGACCCATATCTATATATATATAACAATTAAATAAGGTGAGAAGCAACTCGAAAAACTTTTTCTTTCACTTTTTTTTTAGAATTTTTAATTATTTATCACTTAATCAATTATGTTCTAACACATGTCTCGTACGACTACTTGTCTACTCCACTAATTAACTATACTCATTGAATTTTATTTTTTTTAAATGAACAACTAATTTAATTTTTTTAGAAAATATGGTTTTACCACCATAACTTTACATAATTATTTTATCACCCTATTTTTTTAAAAAAAATAATAAATTTTTATCCAACTTTTTAAATGGTATGGTGACAATAAAACCAAAAAAAAAAAAAGAAGCAAAAAGTGGACAGAGAAGGGGAGTTCAATTTTCGTGCGGCCAACGCTAGTATTCTATACGTTCCTCACCAGAGTCTATTAAAACAAAGGCTCCTGCGTTTTTCCCTCCATGGCGGAGAACTTATCGCAGGACCAACCATTTCTTTCTGAACAGCTTTCTTTTTCTTTTTTTTAACTTTCTTCCCCACATAAAATTCTCACTTCTCCTTCTTTTCCACACCCCTCCCTATTATACCTCCCATACCCAAAAGGAAAAAAGAAAAAAAAAAACAGAAATTATATTAGATCAGAAAAAAACCTCCCTCTTGTAACCTCCACCTTCCTTCCCCGATCGATGATGGCCACGACGTTGATGGAGTTTTTTCCGATCTATCGCTAAAACTAAATCAATGAGAACTGTCATTGCCAAACACAGGCGTCGTCGATCTGGGTAAAAATTGGAAGGAGCATTTTATCAAACAATGGAGGTGCAGAGAATGGAGGAGTTGTTGTTTTTATGGTCAAGATTGCAAAGTAACCGTGTTGCCCTTGTGGGTGGAAATCACACCGCTTCCAGGTTTTGCACACGCTAATCTCGTTTCCGATCACAGTCACTACCCTCTCCTCTTTCTTGCTCTTCTTGCTTTGTATGCAATCTTTTTTAATTGCTCATCCCTTCTTCTTCGATCTCCCTCCAACTCTCCAAAATTTCAAATCCTTTGTTCTTCGCTTACATATAACTGTTCAACATCGCTCTTTCTTTTCTTCTTTCTTGAAAAACTCATTTCATCTGATTGACATGGGGTGGTACAAAGCCATGGATTTTGTACATGATTTTCAAATGAGATATCACGAGAAGATCAAGAAACTGAATATGGGTGGCCTAGCCCTTGCCCTTGGCTTGAACTCGGAGACGAATTTCGTGATAATTAGGCTCCCTCATTCATGGGTGTTGAAATTGGTATCTCGGGCTGTACTGTTCGTGTTAGCTTTGGTTATTGTTTCTTTCTTCTGCCTCAATTCGATAATCGGAGGTTTTACAGCTAATTTCCATGGAGCCAATTCTAATTCTGATCTTGCAGTTGATACGATGAACACAGAGCTGTTGCCTTTATTTTTCCGTGATTTGGCCAACGAAGGCCTTCTGAAAACGGGTGATCGAGCTCTTTTCCTCAGCAACGGCAACGAGGAAGCCATTTATGATTCTCAATTTCTGAGAGATAATGAGATGGATTTGATATCGTATTCGGATTCAGAGCGACAAAGCTTGATCCCTGATGAGACTTTTGACTTTGCTTTAACCCATGGCTTCCATGGGGACTCGAAATTCATCGACCGGGCTCTCAAGGTTGGTGGCATCGCTGCGATCCAACTCAGTGACAACCCTATGGTGGCATTTCAGAAGCCTTCCAACTACAAAATTGTCTATCTCCGAAAATTCGATTCAACCCTTGTGGCCATGCGGAAAACAAGCAATGGTGACACAAATTCACCAACACAACGGAAACTCTGTGGTCTTGCATCGGAAGCAAAGAAGGCAGCTCTGAAGAAGCTCGAGGACGTTCTCCTCGAACCACCAAGAGCAGCATCAGGGAGATCAAACACATACCTCAAGAAAACCAGGTACCTACCGGACCTAATGGGCGACTCTCTCGAAAGCTACCCACGACGAGTCTTCATCAACGTTGGCTTGCCAGACAAAAACGATTGGTTCGCAAAGCATTACCCAACTAGAAATAAGGATTTTGAGATATACAAGATTGAAACTGTGACAGAGGAATCATCCGGGAGGGAGGTACCACAGATTGGGATGTCGGATTGGCTGGGGAAGACCGTGAAAGAAAATGAGTACGTCGTGATGAAGGCAGAGGCTGAAGTGGTGGAGGAGATGATGAAGAGCAAATCTATAAGACTGGTGGACGAGCTGTTCTTGGAGTGTAAGCATCAAGGTATAAAGAAGGGTGGCAGAAGAAACAGGAGAGCATATTGGGAGTGCTTAGCTCTTTATGGGAGGTTGAGGGATGAGGGTGTTGCTGTGCACCAGTGGTGGGGTTAGAACAGAAAGTAGTTCACAGAGAGAGAGAGAGAGAGAAGGGCAGAGAGAGGTGACCATGTCCACAACAGTGTCCTATATTTAAATATCTGTGTTTTATGCACTTGCTGTTTTTCAATGTTTGGGTTTTGGGTTGTTCTTGATGATGTTTCTAAAGAGATAGGAGATAATGATAGTCATAAGAATATGGAGGGGTGTATCCAGAGTGTAGGAGTGATACTCTTGTAATAACACAATATTGACTGCTTCCTTTTCAGAAATTAATTTCTTAAGTAATATTCAGGTGCAAAATTTGAATCTTGAACACTAAAATCTCATGTTTGGAAGGGTTAATTTGGGGTATACTGATCTCAAACTTTCATCAGCTTTGGCCAAGTTCAACCATAAATTGCTAATTTCACTAAATCTCACTGGGCTGTAATGGATATCATTCTTAAGCTAATGATAAATAACTGAATTTGATCTAAATTGATAACATTTAGAATGGAAAGATCCAACTTCTTTGAATCAGACCTTGAGGTCAAGGAAGTCAGCAAAATATGAGTTAGACTGGAGTTAGGAAAATCAAATATCTGTAGAACACAATGTGGGATGCAATAAAAACTTCAATGCCGAGAATCAAGCATTGCATATATGTGTGAGTGTGTGTATGTGCCCATCAGCCCATGCATTTACAAATTGAGCGAAAAGGAAGACGGTATACATACTAGACACATGGACTTGGGCATAATATTTCAGAGAACTTGTTAACCTCATAAGTACATCTTCAATGAAATGTAGTCGTAGAAAATGAAACTACACCCCACAAGAAAGTTTTAAGCAGGCCAATTCACCATAGATAAGAGGGTTTTACAAATGGTTTAAAGAAGAGTTCTTGTCAACTTATCACAGCTAATCCTGTTTAACCCCCATGCTGCATTCCAGCCGTACCCAGTTTTCACTTAATTTAAGCAAAATTGGAACCAAATTACATCATCGAGCCTTCTCAAATTTCATGTGATCTTCTATTTAACGGGCCTATGTCTCCAGAAAAAGAATAATATTCCAATATCCTAGCATCCTATGAGCCAAACTGAACCAATCTCAAATTTCGCACCAGCAAAGTTAAAAATTGCTGATAAAAAAAAGAAGTTAAAAAAGGGCAGAAAATCACAGAAAAAAAAAGGAGAAAGGAGGAAGAGAAGGGGGGGGCTCCACCGTGAAAAAAGTAAGTAATGAAGAAAGTGCATAAGTGAGATACGGACTATTTCAAACCCAAAAAAAGGAATGTTTTTTCCCTGGCAATAAATAAATTTTGAAAAGGCAACCAAATGACTGAAGCTCTCGCTGCCACTCAAATTCTATTCAAGTTAATAACCATTGATATTTATTACTAAAATAGATCATGAGTTTTTTCTAGTTTGCAAACCAAATCACAACTAGAGATAGAGAGGAGCCACATAAGAAAAACCCCACTCTCAACAAAAGAATCAAACAATCAATATTCTGATCAATACAGACAATGCAAAAAAGACAAATAGCACAAATGGAGAATATTCACACCCAGAATTTGGCTCCAGGTCTGCTTGCAGAAGAGACTAATGATGCAGGCATAGCTGGTCAGATGGTACCTGTGGTACAAAGACTTGCACCCCAAGCAATACTGGCCGCACACAACAAAAGCACGCCATCAACAGAACATGATTTGGTCATTGTCATATTGAATAACGGCTACCCGGAAGCTAAGCAATCACATATCACACAAAGTGAGTGTTGCAGATACAAGCATCGGACAATGGCATGCTAAGATCAAAGTTTCAATAACCTAAAGTGACATAAAAACTTATAAGACAAGACATATCTGCAGAGATATATTGCTACATATTCACATACCTACAGAATGAATCTTTAAGCAATGAAGTGGAAACTATACTGTGAAACACTGCTTAAGAAAGAATACCAAGATACATACCGACAGTAGATTCTTAAGTGCCTTTCACTATCATAACCGGGCATTGTGCATGGTTAGAACAGTAGTTGCTTACACTTCCCAGAAACATCCTGTTTGGATTCAACAAACCATGAGGTGTAATTCACTGAAAAGAGCACACCAAGGCATAGAAGTTTGATGATCAGAAAAAAGGAATCAATATCTGAGTTATGTTAATTTGAGTTCATGTTCATGTCAAGTATATACTTTTAAAGTAGAGCAGTTTCACACTGCAGGTCATCTCAATATCAGTAGTTTTCAAAAAAATGCCTTTAAACAAAGTGAAACCCTCACCACTAATTACTCTTGGCACTTATTTGTGCGAGCCAATATAGTGGTGCATTGATTTGTGAAATTGCCACAAAAGACACGATTGCAAAATAATAACATAATTAACAAGTTTTATGTGACTAGAATAACTACTTTCATGGTACGGGGGCCAATCTAGTGCCCAATTCTTCTTCAATGGCCACATCTGTGGTGATAATATGATACATTCCAATGCTATATAAATATACAATCAAAGCATTCAATCCATTGAAAATCATCAAAAATGCATGAAATTGTCAATATATTACTTTCTAATCGGGAGTTGTACCTTTTAATAGGTCCGAAAGCACGGCATCCCATCACAAGCAAATCGGCGTGCAACTCCTCCACAACTTCACATATGTTCTCCTTTGGATCCCCAATTACAACTTGTGTTTTAACTGTCACCTAATATAGAAGAATCAATCCGCCACTAAGAACAGTAAAAGCATGATAAAACAATAAATATACGTAGAATTTTGTGGTATAATAGAAACGGTCAAATTAATAACAACTAAATGTGTAACTTCACCACACGCACACACGTACACGCATACGCATAGAGAAAGAGAGAGAGTAAACCCTAACATGTTTATCAGAGCAAATCTGAAGAGCGTGAGCCAAAATAGCCTCAGTGATGCGCCGCTGGTGCGCCTCAATCGCCGCTGTGAACGCAGGCACTTCCAAATCACCTTGATCACAAAATTTAATATAATCTCAGAGTTTAATCAACTCAACCAACGTAAAATTAATTCAAATAATCTCAAAGAGACGATCCTTGTAAATACTAATTGGAAAGAAGAATGAACACTGGTGTATAGACTTAACTGGGACCACCGAAAGGGATGGCACCGGGATTGAGGCCGGCGGCTATGGACGGCGGGGATTGAACGTGGAGTATCACGAACGAACCTTCATCGGTGTCGGAAGCAGCAGATCGGAGCTTGAGATTGTCGAGTGCCCATCTCAGGCCGTTCATGCTCTCTTCGCTGCCATCGACGGCCACAAGCACGCACCCCAGCGTTCCAGACATGGTTTGGTCAAACACGTCTCTCTATGTCTCTCCCCTCTCTCTCTCACACACTCTTTCACTCTCTTTATATTCGTAGACTCACTCTTTCGTCTTTCCTAAGGGTGGAAGTGGTTTTTATTTTCAGGCAAAACAACAACCGTTAGCGATGGTCCATTTTTATTTTTTTTGGGAAAATTGTGGGATAATACATTTTTTTAACAATATTTCTGGAAAAATTTATTACCCAAAACTTTTAAGTTTGTAAGCATATTTTTTATAAAATATTTGGTAAATAAGTACATAATTTCAACTTTTTATATTTTAGCAGTACATAAATACCTTTTGCTTATTTTAGGCAAGTAGTTTCCTTTTTTTTTTTTTTTTTGTTTTTATTGAATGAGTGATTTCTTATTTTAACAAGCAATTAAACGTTTGAATTTTAAAAAAGATTACAAAATTTTTTACAGTAAATATTTTTATTTTTTCATATCTTTATTTTTCAAATTTATGTTTATCATACAGTAACTGATAAGTATCATCAATCTTCTTCAAGAGATTCATCAATTTTCTGATATGTCCTCAAATCAGGTTCTTTTTTTTTTTTTGTGTTTTCTAATTACACAATCAGTTGGTGTCATGCATGTTCATATAATTATACTCTCTCAACCAATGCTAAATTTTGATGTTTGAGGATCGAAACACAAAATTATAAATAGTATGTTGTTGTCACTTTTCATGCACCATAACTTCTCAAAATTGTTCTCTATGATATTTTCAAAGATCAACCAAAAAAGAGTTTTTCGCAACGATATTTTGTGTTCTTCCTGCAACACAATTTTTATGTATTGCCCTTATGATTACAAGCATGTTTGATCTATATTGTAGGTCCAATGACATTTCATTTTCACTTGTTTCAACATCTTTTATTGCTTCCTTACCAGTTCTACAAGATGTTGACCCCACCACATTCCTTGCCAATATTCTCTTTTGTTTCTCCTGGGTTTTTTTCACTGTTGTAGATCGTGTTTTTGTCATATCCTATGTTTACAACAAAAAATTAGACACTTAAGAATAAATTTGAATATTAATGTATCTTGTCACTGTATGTTATGTCTGTATGTTTTTTAATCTCTATTCAATGATAATTTAATAGTCACAATATGTTGTATATTTAATTGTTATATATGAGAAATGCAATTCATTAAATTAGTCATTCGTATACATTGTACCTCTGTGGATTAAATTTCATAATCTTTTATGAATTTGTCAACAAATACAGTGATTACCCGAGCAACAAAGTTATAACTTAAAGAGTTTTAATAGAATGACATTATAACTTAAACAGTGACATTATTTTAGTTTCTAAAAGAGTTACAACAAAATGTTACATAAAATTGTAACATTATAACGTTTTTAGTGTATGTTGTCAATGTGTATAAAGTTTTCCACGCATTATTAATTGAATATAAATGTTAGTATATAATATATCAATATTGTTCTATAGTGTGTTACTAGGCTATCACCATCATAACTACTTGGCCATATTTGAAGCTCAAGGTAACAATTCAAAATATGTTGTATCACTATGAATTATCAACAATAGGTTATTAATATATAGTGTAGCTGTATGAATAATCTTCAATACCATAGCATTACATTATTCTAAATTTACAAATAATACAAGTTATTATCCATATTGAAAGATGTAATACAGTAAGTATGATTCCTAGTTGGAAAAAAGCATCATTTAACAAAATATGACATCTAATTTTATGATTTGGTTTACTCAAAACATAGCAATTACACAAAGCAACATTGAACATAAATTGAAATGAATTTTATGTATTAAATATCATTTAAAACACTATCTAAAATATGATGGTGGATTTTGATTTAAGGTTTGTATACTGCAACATTGAACAGAAACTCAAATGGAATTGTTGTTGCTTATTATTTATGTAAACATAAATCTTTTTATGAATTTTTCAACAAATACAATGTTTACCCAAGCAACAAAGTTACAACTTAAAGAGTTCTAAAAGAGTGGCACTAATAAGAGTGACATTATAAATTAAACAGTGATATTATTTTTGGTTCTAAAAGAGTTACAATAAAATGTTACATAAAATTGCAGCATTATAACGTTTCCATTGTATGTTGTTAATGTGTATAAAGCTTTCTATGCATTATTAATTGAATATAAAGGTCATTATATAATAAATCAATAGTATGTTATTACCATCCTACCTACTTGGCCATATTAGAAGTTCAAGGTAAAAAGTCAATTTATGTTATATCACTATGAATTATTAACAATAGGTTATCAGTATATAGTATAGTTGTGTGGATAATCTTCAATATCATACTGTTACATCATTCTAAAATAACAAATAATATAATTGTTATCCAGATTCAAAGATGTAACATAGTAACTATGTTTCCTAGTTGAAAAAAACATAATTTAACAAAATATGACATATAATTATATGATTTGGTTTTCTCAAAACCTAGAAATTACACAATGAACATTGCACAAAAATTTCAAATGAATTTTATGTATTATATATCATTTAAAACACTATCTAAAATATGATTGATATCATTTAAAAATTAAAAAAAGTAAAATTGGAACATAAACTAAAATGTTGGAATTATTGTAGTTTATTATCATAATAAAAACTTTTAAGGATTTCGTTCAAAAAAAATACAAAACGAAATCACTACCCAAATTAATACTTCTAATTTGGAGTTTTTTTTTGGTTTAATTCATAAAAATTAAAAAAAAAACAAAAAAAAAAAAGTTATTGTTACAGAATCAATGAGAATGTCGGAACTCCTTATGATGACGTCAGAACCCCTCAATGATGCCGGAAGAACAATGACAACTTCAACAATTTACTTCGACGGAGTCTATTTAAGTCAAAGATGCAACGACCATCATCAACAATCTTATTCAAACAAAGGCAATGCAAATGATTTGAATTTTTTAGAATTTTTTGTTAAAATTATGAAGATGCAATGAGAAATAAATAAATAAATAAATAAAGTGGAAGATCTCGGTGAGGCTGTGAAGGGATTTTGCTAAAAACAAGAGATTCCATTAATGGGTTTCTTAAAAACTGGTTTAATAGGAAACTTTTCGATTTCTATTTTGAAATACATAAAAGGTTTTTTTTTGCCTTTTCATGTCGCAATGGATTTTTGTCCAACATGTTTTGTTCACGGGCCTTTTTCACTAAAATTTCTTAGATTCTGTACAGGCCCACAAAATTCTCTTCTTTTTTTTTTGGGACTTGATCTACTCGGGTTAAAAGGAAGGGTTGTGACCTTACCCAACAGGCTAACGGGCCACACGTGGTGGGCCGGATCAATCATTCCCTGATTAGCAATGAGTTGTTGGGGTTTGGGCCGAATTCCAACTCTTCTTTGCTTAGCCTTTGCTAGGCAGGGTCGTTGCTGAGATTTAGTCTTTTCTGTAAATGCAAAATTAACGGATATTTGGTTGTAAGTATTTTTTTCTATAATTTATTTAGTTTTAAGTACTACAATCAAATTTATACTTCATTAAATTCTCTTTTTCATCAAATTATTTTCATTAAGTACATATTTCAAAAAAAAAATTTCTATTACCAAATTACCTCTACTATAAATACTGTCTACCATTGTTAGTTTTAATGTTTTTAAATATAAAAACTTTTAACTTGGGAATTGTGCTATTATTAAAATTAATTTTTTATCATATCCATATATGATAAAAGTTAATCATTAATTTTAATGATTAAATTTTTTATTAAGTATGTTACTGTTTGATATTACTATTTTTTTTATTAAGCATGTTACTGTTTGATATATATATATATAATAGAAAAATAATTTTAATGATAGTACAATTCCCAAGTTAAGAGTTATTAATACTAATACAATTCTTAATTTAGAGATTGTTAATTTTTTTAAATAAATTTTTATTAAATATAAATATTAAGGGTATTTGGGGACAATGGAAATGAAAATAGACTTATTCCCAAATAAGTTTTTTGAGTGGACTTAAGTTTAAATAAGTTTTTGAGTGGACTTAAGTCCAAATAAGTCTACTAAAAGGGACCAGCCTCCAAAAGACCCCAAAATTAATCGTCTTCTATTAGGGTTTGTTTATGCGTACCTCTACTAATATCTTCTTTGGTTCAATCAAGAATAAATTATCTACACTGCGACTAAAGAATTTATGAGAAATAAGTTCCTCATAGTAGAGATAGAGTCAGGAATCCAAATGAGAGGAGCCAAAATATAATTAAAAATAATTCACAAATTGATATTGAAAAGAAATTGAGTACAATAATGATAAAATAGGCTAAAATTCGAGACAAAATTTATTGAAATAAAACTATTTTTTTCCTTCAACAAAATCTGAAAAGAATACGCAATAACTTTTTTTTAGTATGTTTTAGTTAGTGGCATACAACCTTCCTTAAAATCCGTAATATTTTTTATATTTGTTTTGTTTTAAGAACTAGAATTCTCCCTAATTTTTTATCAATGCTCATAGTCATAGAGTCTTGTCGTAAAATTATTTTTTAATAATTGTGAAAACCTATTTAAAATCATTCTCGAGCTTATTGAGAAATTTCATATTTAAAATAGCATAAAGTATTTTTGGGTTAAAATATGTACCTTTTTGTATCCAATCCTATTTTATCAACAACAAATTACAAATAAGCCAAAGAATAGCAACCGATAGCTATAAAATTATTTCTAAAAAATAAAAAGTATTGTATTAGATAGAAGAGAATTATTATCTTTTTTTTCAATAATATAAAAAGATCACAATATTTATATTGAATTTACTCACTCCAAAAGGAAAAAAAAATTGTTTTAGGGAGAAAAAAGACTATTAATTTAATAAAACTTTTCAAATGTTTAGAGGGGCAAATATAGTACACTGAATAACATCATGGGAGTCTAATCAAAGGTGATTCAAAAATGAGGGGAGGCAAGTGCCCCCTAGTCCCAAGATGGCTCCGTCACCGCTTCATATTCTCCCATTAAGCAATTGCTAAATTTTAACCTTTTGATATCTTCGTTTACACTTAATTCCGGTCTTCATTAGGCTACCCCTTGGGGTTGTGATTGA